CCCCAAAACCCCAAAACCCCAAAACCCCAAAACCCCGATTTTTCATAAAATTATTGAAATGTCAAGGAAATATGATGGCTCTTACTGGAACAACTCTTATTATAAGAGACACCACTATGGACAAGAAGTTCACACACCTTTGTCTGAATGAAAATAATAAGTAATGAAAGTTTGTTAAGCCCCATAGAATCGAATGAAAAATTAACGATGACACTTATTCAAGACCATATCACTATAAAGACTATCACCCGAAGAGAGGAGACGTTCAAGAAGTGTATGCAAATCCCAGGATTTCCTACACCCCTCAAGAAATTAAGAGGTAATTATACAATCTTGATACTATAAATCTGTACACCACCAAATAAAACATTATTCAACTATCTACTTTCTGAGAAATCTGATTCGAACTGATTATAGGAAAGCTGAAGACCTGAACAAGCCATGGAACTACTTTGATAAACCAAATCATGATCTCTATTCCAAAAAAAACTAAGTCTTCCTAATGAAGACAGATACGAAAATAATAAGATTGACAGAGGGCTAGACTATGGTGATTATAAGAAGAAATATTTGGAAAGAGAAAGTGTTAAGAGAAAGCCAGTTGAGTCTAGACTTGATTTTGTGTCAAAAACTCCACAGACTGTAAAGAGAGACAAAAGAGATCATAGAGATGAAAGATGGAGAGATATGGTACCTGATAGCCCTAGTGAGAGGAAGAGAGACAAGGATCAAAGATCTCATTATAATGATGATAAGAGACATAATGGAAGAGAAATTAAAGCAGTTTCTGTTACTCCAGTGAAATCAGTCTACTCAAGATATCCCTTGACATATAAAAATGAAATTTCTGACTCATCAAAGCAGGCATATAAAAGATATAATTGTAAGGAGTAATCTTAATAGTTAGATGAGCCGAGAAGGAGTGATCAATCTGAATTTACTGTTGAGGATGCAGTCTCTCAGGCTCCAAACCCGAGTGCTCATCCTAAACCATCAAAAGACTTTAAAAGTAGTAAAACTCCTCCAGAGTATGATCTTCCTGACCCTGTATATGATAGGGTTACTGGAGGCTATTTGGCTCCTCAAATTGAGGAAAATCTTGGAAAGAAAACTTTGGTAATTTTACTTGAAATTTTCTTTATATAATTTCTAACGACTCCATAGGTTCTTGATCTCGATGAAACATTGATCCATAGCTGGTTCAAACCTATAAATAGTCCTGATCTTTGCTTAGATGTAAAGATTAAGAACAAATTTACCAAAATTTATGTTCTCACACGACCTTGGGTATATAACTTTCTGGACGAAGTTCAGAAACTTTTTGAAGTTGTTATCTTTACAGCTTCTGTTTCAACTTATGCAATTCCAATCATCAACAAGCTTGACAGAACAGATTATCAATATCAAATGCTGTTCCGGCAACATTGAGATACTAAATCAGGTTCATTTGTGAAAGATTTGTCTAAATTAGGAAGAGATTTAAAAGACTGAGTCATCATTGACAATACTCCTAATTGATATCGCCTTCAGAAGAGGAACGCCTTGCCTATCCTTTCATGGTTCGAAGATCCAAGAGATAGAGAATTAGATAAACTTCTCCCTATTTTAAAATAAACTTGCTAAGGTTGAAGATGTGAGACCGTATATCAAATAAATTAGTGAACTCAAATGCCATTAACTTTGATAAGATTTACAGAGTCTTTAGAAATGTTAATGAGCACGACTCTTTGAAGAGGAGTTTCTCCTTTAGATCTGACAAAGATCAAAGGACAGAGATTAGTAGATCTAAAAATAGACCCAAAAGCACAAGAAGGCGCAAGTAAATTATTTTTCTTAAAATTATAGTAAGGATAAACATTCTAAGACAAAAGAAATTGAGACTTTAAGAGGCGATAGATCTGGTACTACAATAAACAATGAAGATGGTCAAGTACAAAGTATGAAATCACTCAAGAAGGATTCAGGTAACCAAATAGTTTAATGTATAATGTAAAATTCGATTTTTGATCAGGAATAACGTAGAATAGACTTAAAATCAAAAATAAAGCATTCATTTGTAAATATTAATAATGAGAATAAGAAGATATATCCAAAGAAAAAGAGAATAGCTAAATATACCTCATCAAAGAAGTTGTCAAAAGAAAAGAAGATCAATAAGGAGACTTCTTCAAAGCTCTTACAAAAGAGTAGTGAGAGATTAAGAAGAGAGATTCAACAATACTCTTCAAAATTAAAGAGATCAATTGAAAGTTTTGACGTCGAAGACAAAGTCCACTCTATCCACCAAGAAGAGACTTCAAAACTAGCAAACTACGCTCACCACCTAAGAAAATCATACCTCAGAACTGGTAAATCAAAGAAAAGGATAACATAATCCCCAATAAAACTCCAATACTGACCTACAACATTTTTCAATACATTCTGTCCTTCCAGGGGTTTTGGGGTTTTGGGGTTTTGGGGTTTTGGGGTTTTGGGGTTTTGGGG